AACTGTTTTAACTCGGAGACTCAAATATAAAAAATGGGCAAGGTTTCAAACCTTGCAAGATTCACCCTCGGGGTGAGCCAAGGCAGGACAATGCAGCCAGTGACACTTTAAATACGAAGGGGAGATGGGAATGACTTCAGGCTCACTCTAGGGAACAACGGAAAGCAGCTCCTACCGAAAAAAAATCACCTCCCAAGCCATATGGACCAGGCTGAGCTCCACTCTGGTTCACCTTAGGTTCTTTTCCCCCCTCTGGCTCCAAAATCCACACGGCCTTGAAAGAAACCAGATCCTGCCAGAATCTCAGGGCGTTTGGCCTCCTCTCCCTCCTGGAGCCCTCGGCCCTTCGCTCCCCTTCTCCCGCAGCTGCCTCGCCGTTGCTTGAGTGCCAAACCCCCAGCGGGGAAGCGAAACCCTCACATTTCATGACATCCTCCGAGTCGGTTAATGGGTAGATTGTTGCTCCACTACCACCATCGCCGTTTGCTTTGGCTGCTTTTTCTTAGCCGAGAATCCAAGCCATACGATTGTTCAGGCATTTCCTGCCCTCTATTTTTATAGCAGCATCTTAACCAGCAAAAGAAAATAAAATAAACCAGCTTCAGAAACAGGGAGACATTAAAGATGGAAAAGTGCAAGTGGAGGTTTCTCCGTTGAGACAGCGTGTACTTCGGCTTCCACCGTCTTTGAATCCTAGGATCATGGCATTGGAAGGGCTCTCTACAGCCTTCAAGTCCAACCTCCCTGCTCAGTGCAGGAATACAAATCAAAGGAGATCCGCCAGGTGGTTATCTACACATCTCTTGAATGCCACCAGTGTTGGAAAATACAAATCAAAGGAGATCTGCCAGGTGGCCGTGTCTACACGTCTCTTGAATGCCACCAGTGTTGGAAAACTCAGGACCTGTCAAGGTCATTGGTTCCATTGTCGTACTGCTCTAACAGTTCGGAAGTTTTTTCCTGACACCCAACCAAAATCTGGCTTCCTCTAACGTGAGCCCATTGTTGCATATCCTACACTCTGAGATGATCGAGAACAGATCCTGCCCCTCCTCTGGAGGACAGCCTTTCAAGTCTTTGAAAAGTGCTCTCCTATCATCCCTCCATCTTCCTTTTGTCCAGCCTCAACCGGCCCAGTTCGTCCAGTTTTCCCTCTTAGGTCTTAATTTCCATTCCCGTGATCATCCTTGCTGCCCTCCTCTGAACTTGCTTGCTTGTTGGCATCCTTCTTGAAATACGGGATCCAGAACCAGACACGGTCCTCAAGGTGAGGCTGAACCAGTGCCGAAGTTGAGCCCAGCCCTTTGGAAGTCTCAGGAATACTTAAGGATTATAGGAGGATCCGAGTGACTCACAGGAAAGCTGTGCTTTTGAAGTTAAGCCCCTCTACAGGGAAAGCCCCTCAGCTTGGATTGCAGAGAAGAGAACCAAGATGGATCCAGGCCAGTCTACACAGGATGCTGGTAGCAAACCTCCCCTTTGCTTTCCAAAGTCTGCCTCACTCCCCTTTTCCACCTCTCTCTCAATCTCTCTCTCTCACACACACACACACACACAGTCCCCCCTTCCACACACACACACTTTCCTTTCCGACAATCATTAACAACCATCTACTTGTAGATGCTTTGAGGGGCTGTATGGTTGTTGTTGTTTTTAATCCCTCTGCTACTTGTCTGCACAGTGTTTATAACAAGCATTGCAACCGGAGCCTCATCCAGGAGCAGAGATTTGTCACCAAGGCTTCAAGTGATTTGCCTTAGGCAAGCACAAAGCAGCAACAGGCTTCCGGCCGCTGCCTTCTAAGCAGATGTTTGCAACGGATTGTTTCAGAATCATGCGATGTGGGATTTTGAGATATTTCTAATTTCTGATTTCAACGGCGTGTTTTGTGTGGATGGTTAACTACCCTGAGATCTTATGGGGAAGAGTTCAAGCCGCAAATGACAAAACAGTGCAAAATAGTCAAATATTTGTCAATACAATCTTTCTCATGTCCAAAGCATTTGCGGCTTGGGAGCAGAAAAACCAAAAGTGGTTCCCGCCCTGGCACTCGATCCGGGACGAGGCACCGTCTGTTGAGAAATTCTCCTGCTCAGTTTTCAGTGAAAGGGAGCAGCGCCTCCTCATTTCAACCCCGCCTGAGCAGAAGAGTTTTTTTTTCTGATGAATGTGCTGCACCAAGCATGCAGAGGGTGGCAGGATTCGGGTTTTCCCCCCTTCTAGTCTTGCCACAGGCCTCTGCTGCCGCTGAGATACCAACCAAGCACTGCCAGTTTGGATGGCTGCCGTTTTCCCATCGGAGTGGCAAATGGACAAAAATCAAAACAAGCCAACATTTCCCCCTGCAGTCCCACATCCGAAATGGATCGATGAGCCTCGAAACTCATTTTCCTTTCTAGATTCTGACGGCCAAGGTTTAGCCAGGATATTTTGCTGCATGATGACATGATCTGGCAAGTTCCATGGGCACCTTTCCCACGGTCAGGCACAATGAGATTTCTCCTTTACACGTCCTGAACGAGCCTTTGAGAATGGATTTCCCTCAAGGCTGGATTTCACTCCTAGTTTTGTGAGGGCACAGAGAAGCTAAAGGGGGCGTTGCTGCCATCCTAAGGAACGTTTCCAGCCTCTCTCGCTGGTAGAGATGTGCAGGAAAGCATTGCATTCTGAGCATCTTAGAAGCCGCTGGCTTTGGAAATCTGAGCTGTTGTTTGCCAAAAACTCTGCAATCTGGCTGACTCTTACTGTAATTCCTTTCAACATCTGAAATGAGACAAAGACTTGGGAACAATTGCTGATGCATTGAGATTTACTTCCTAAGTTTCTGGGCTTCTAGGCTGAAGGGCCAGCAACGTGTGTGTGTTCACACAAGGAAGGTTACATCCGCTGCAGCAGAACAGACCCGAAAACAGCCCTCTCCCTTTACAGCAGTGACTGGCTTGCTTCGAGGAGAAGCGTGAATCACATCGCCTTTTGAGCCCTCCGCTCTTCCTGTTCTCCTCAGCTCACTGCCTCTCAGACACTTTTCTTACTCCTTGGAGAACAATAGCTGAAACATGAACCCAGTTTGCACCAAAGAGCAGATGAGGGGATGAAAAAAACTGCCCTGAATGGCAGATCTTCAAACGGTGCAGGCCTGGGGGAAAGTCAGCGACAGGGAGAAAAACCAGCCAGAACAAATGAACCGGGCCCTCCCTGCTTTGTCTAGCTTGGCCTCCTCCTCCTCCTCTTGGCAAGCTTTCCGCAATTTGTCTACGACCTTCATGTTGACGGTTCCAACTAAGCAACGGCTCTGCCACAGCATCAAGGGGGGACCCCACTCCAGAGTAGTATCCCCCACATCCCCACGTCTTATGAATCAGGCTAGCCTTTCACAACCTGGCACTTTCCAAAGCCCTGCACCAGAGCTTCCATCATCCCCAGCTGCTGGTCTGGCATGATGGGACCTGTAATCAGAGCCTTGACTGGGACTGAGCGATGGGGGGCTTTGACTCAGGGGGCCAAAATGGAGCGGGTGTGGAAACTGTTGTTGGAAGGGCCAAAACCCACCTTGTCGGTCTCTGGTGCTCAGTGGGTGTAAACCTAGTCTGAGGGCACTGACGGTCTTCAGCTGCTCCTCTCCAGGCAGAAGGAAATACACCACATGCAGGCTCAGTGGAGAACCGATATCAATATCATCATCATCATCATACAACTTCAGAGCGGGAAGGGACCTTGTGGATCAATGAGTCCAAGGAGGCCCAGTGGGGGAATCAAACTCCCAACCTCGGGCTCTGCAGCCAGATGCTTAAACCACCGAGCTATCCATGACCCTCGTGGGCTCAGATCCATGCTTCCCTCCTTCCTCCTCTCCGTACATGCCGATCTCATCAAGCCCCAGACTTAAGCCAGTGGAGTAGCAAAGCCCCTTGCGTGCTGTAACGGCGAGTTGTGGCAACTGGCTGTAAGCCGACATGCCTGGCGGGCCCCTGGTTCAGGGCCTGGGCAGGGCCTTCTCCTTCCTTTGGGGCCAAGCGAAGTGCCATAAGCTGGTGCTTTGCGCCACATTTCAGTGATGCCCTGGAAATGTCCTTTCTGAGATCCTCGGGTGACGGTGAGGCTGCCTCCTCCTTCCTCTCTCTCAAAAGGTAAATGATCGGGGATGCCTCCCGCACGACCTGATTCATTTGAAATGGACGAGGGACATTTTGAGTTGACTTTGGAGGAGAAAATGAATTTCCCACCAAGGAGGTGTCTTTGAACGATTTCAGCCACAGTGTGAGTATGACGGATCATTACAACCCTGTAGGTAGTTTAACCCAAAATATATATGACTTTGCTTCTTCATTTGCAGACATGTGGTAGAGACTTTTTTTGTATGAGGAACATCGCAATAAAAATGTCATTTCGACAGAGGATTTATGCCACATTGGAAGGAAGAAAAGCATCTCAAACTATCTTCGAAACAGCCTTCACCTTCTCTGTCTGATTTCCATTCCTTGTAACTCTCTTCTTAGATAGCAGGGCAATTATTACAGAGCAGGGGTAAAACAAAAAGCTATTTTAGTATCCAGCCGTTACATTTCCAGACAGCTTCCTTGTCAGTTCGTTAAGCAGCTTCTGCTTTCCCCACCAAATCTGAAGGAGCTAGGGATGGAAAGAACTCGAGGAAAAGGATAAATAGAACTACATGTTACCAGTCCTCATGAACCCCTTCTATCTGACCTCAAGCTAGTAGCAACACATCCATTGTATGTATCCATGGTTGAGTAGATACTTCCCACACCCTTTTCGTAATCCTATGAGTGATCAGGGGGGCCCTTCCTGGATCCAGTCGTGTGGAGCAGCTAGGTACATAAGGCCGGTCAGGCGTCAGGAAAAGGAGAGAAAGGTTAGCAACAAACATTAGGAAGGTATGCTTCACATCATCTAGGCAAGAGGTATCATCAATGAGAAGGCTTTTCTATTTTGTTTTTAAACCACAGATCTCTTACTCAGAGGAAAACCACACACACAGTGGCTCGCCTTTCTTCGATTGTTTAATAGCTCAAAGAGGATAACAGTACTATTCCTTTGCGGGCCAACCCCCCCTCCCCCCAAATCCCCAAAACGTTGTACAAGAGTGAGTGGTTCTCCGACAATGTGCCGAAATGATTTCTTCTTACTAGTGCAAACAGGTATTGAGAAGGGTTCCTCCATCATCAACGCCGTTTTAAAAAGAGGGAACCCACCCGAGGGTATACCGGAGGGGGGGGGACCCCAAGCCCTGTTCCGCCAGGCCAACACATTCAGAAGTCTGCTTGCTCTCCAGCCCTCCAGCGGCCGCCGCCACCGCCGCCATCTGGGTCAGGCGGAAGGGGAAAGGGGCAGGAACCCGATGCCAACACAGACTCCCGGTTCCCATTTGCAACACGGACTTCTTAATACTGTTTCCCCCTCCCCCATGGAGTATAATAGCAAAGTCCTGAAACTCAGGCCAAAGAGAATAATAAATAGGTCAAAACTTCAGGTTATGATATAATACTGACTTTAGCACTTCTTTCATTAAAAAAATGGGATCCTCTCTCCTTCCTTCTCTCTCCTCTCTCTCCTGAGATACAGCAAATAAGGGCAAGGTACAGAAAGGGGAAGGATTAACACTGTCCCACCAGCTTGGATGGCCAACACGGTGTAGCTGAAGGGGAGTCGGAGAAAAGAACAGCCCATCATCCCCCTGTCCCTCTCTCAGCCCCCAAACCTATTCCGGTAAGTGCTCAGTAGAGTCTCTCTCTCGGCCGCGTGCCCCCCCTTCAGCTCAGTTGGATTTCGGGCAAAGCCAAGAGGCGAACTTAGCCTTCATCTTCTCGAAGCTCAGTGGGGAGAAATTTGTACTGCTGCTGGCGGATCTGGGCCAGTTTTTTCCTCGCCTCTTCCAGTTCCCGCTCCTTCTTTAGCATCTCCTCCTGGGCAGCAATGATCTAGGGGTGAGAAGGAAGAAAGCAGGGCAGTGGCCGGGTCAGAGAAATGAGCGGAGAATCAGAACAAAAGCATGCCGGCCTGTTTTTCCGGCGCATTTTCACAAGGATGCAAACCTGCGCAAGGGACTGTACAAGACAGCGGTGGTGCAAGCAGTCACACAGCCTCTTGCACACCCAGTCGCATAATGTTTTATACAATCCCCTGGCACAACTACCTTCAGTGATGTAACCCAGCACAGCTGGGCCTGGCACGATTTTTGTTGGGGCTGGCGTGATGTTGGAATGACGCTAGCCCTTATGTCTTGCCTTGAGAATGCAAAATGGCAGCACGCTATTCCATGTTTTATTGTGGATGTAGGAGATGGTTTGAAATCGAGAGACAGCCCAGAGCCACCTGTCCCCATACAGCCTCTTTTGACCCATCCCCTCATGCCTACTGTTCCGTTTCCACCTGTAGAAGCTGCCTGGAGAGGACTCGTGGGTTTATCGACCTCTGCAAGCCAGCAGCTACCCTTGATATACACCTATAGCAGACAGACCTCAGAAATATTACAAGTATCATAGCTGTCTGCAACGAATTACTTTTCTTGGATAGTGTGGATGTTAACCGAGTCAGCAACCTCACCAGTGGGAATGAACTTATTTCCGTGGTGCGATAAGTTAACATGTCCTAATTTCTATTTAAAGCTACATTTAAAGGACAATTGTTAGCCATTTTTAGACTACTTTCAAGACAAATGTTTCAGCTTTTATGCCACTGTATCAACCCTTCTAGAAGTGACAAAAAGGCCACAAACAACACAATTCATTTTCCAAGCATTCTTTGCTTAAAAACCCTTGATATACACCTATAGCAGACAGACCTCAGAAATATTACAAGTATCATAGCTGTCTGCAACGAATTACTTTTCTTGGATAGTGTGGATGTTAACCGAGTCAGCAACCTCACCAGTGGGAATGAACTTATTTCCGTGGTGCGATAAGTTAACATGTCCTAATTTCTATTTAAAGCTACATTTAAAGGACAATTGTTAGCCATTTTTAGACTACTTTCAAGACAAATGTTTCAGCTTTTATGCCACTGTATCAACCCTTCTAGAAGTGACAAAAAGGCCACAAACAACACAATTCATTTTCCAAGCATTCTTTGCTTTAAAAACCATTAGATTCCGGCCGTGAACAGGAAGAGGCTCTCGAGAGGTTCTCTGCAAGTAGAGCACATTAGATCCTTGCCGTGAAAGCCTTCGCGGATATATTAAATTTACCAACTCTGAACAGGAGGAGGCTCTCGAGAGTTCTCTGCAAGTAGAGCGGAGGGATGGGTAAGAGGGAAGCGAGAGCCCCCCCCTCTCACCTGGGCAATGCCTCCTACAAACTTGGTCTTCACCACCACGTCGTCATCGTCCGCTTTGCCAAAAGCTGCTGCCTGGGCGGCCCTCACCAGGTTGTCCGATGCGCGCTTGACGGCATTACCCGCAGCCTGGAAAAGGAGAGAACAAAACCGCTAGGCTGGATCGCTTGCATTCCGGACCCAGGAGTTCTCAAGCCCCTGAGAGGATGTCTGGAGGAGCTTCCTTCCCCTCACCCTTCCTTCTGGAGTCAGAAGGATAAGAGGAAGGGGGCTCTTCACCAGGCAAGATATCAAGCTGTGCCGGGTCATTGTGGGCTTCCTCGCAACTTCGTCATACCACACAATAACAATATTATGGAAAGCAAAAGTTTCAAACACAGCCACTGGCTCCTAGAGTTGTTAAATCACTGAGAACAGATTTCAGGCCAGGAGGAAAACCACCAAGGGAGCAGGAAAATCAGCAAGACCCTCTCGGTCAGAAGCCTTTCTAAACAGATAAAACCGTTAACCCTTCCTTGGAAGGCCAGAAACCCACACCTGAGGGACCAGCACCAAGAAGGCCCTGTTCAGGAAGACCTCCCCCCCCAAAAAAAAACCTCACAGATCTTAAGGGTGGGCTACTGAGCAGAACCTCCAATCGGGACCTTACGAGCTTGGTCCCCCAGGAATCTACATGAACTGTGGGGTCACTAAGTTGATTAGTTTAAGTGCCAAACTCGTATTAACGGGCCTGCAGGAGAGTGAGCAGAGGGAAGGGTCTGATAAGCCTCCATTTCATTCGTCAGCTCCAAAAGTGTAATGATCGGTTCCAACCAAGATATGGCCGGTTGGCTTTAGACAACCCCGTGGCCTCCCAGCCTGCCCTGAAGGGCTGGAAAAAGTGACGTTATCAACACAAAGCCCTTTTAGGAAACAAAACCACACACCAAGAGCCCCCCCTCCCCTTGAATGCCGAGTAAAGCAGGTTTACTGAAAGGTGAGCCCCCGGAGCCGAAGGGCCCTCGCGTACCTGCAGCCTCCTCATGGCCTCGGAGTCTTGATCGGCCTTCACTTTGCACGCCACCAGCAGCTGAGCGGTGGACGCCGCCACTTGCTTAGCGGAAGAGATCAGCTTCTCCTCGCTGGCGTGGCCCTGGACGGAAGCATTGGCCGCCTCGCACAGGCTGCTGGTTGCGGCGGCCACCATGCGCGCCTGGAAGGGAGGAGGGCAAACGGTAAGGCCCCGCGTGGTCGCTTAGCGGGGGGGGGGAGAACGCGTGCAAGGGGCCAAGGAACCCCAGAACATACACATCATGTTGGTCTCCTCTCCTCCTTCGGGATACAAGCCGTACGTGTGTTTGTTTCCCCATGATTTGTGCACACCTCTAAAGAGTGTGTTTTTAGCTAGGCTCATTTTGCAAACAGATTATGCTTGGGGCATGGCCATTCCCCACCCTATCTCCAATTCATCACACGTCTTGGCAATGGATATCTTTCTTGAGATGAGCTGTCTTCTATCTACTGGCCTTCTTTATGTTGAGTAAACAGGCATTTTCTTACCAAGTATAAACCTGACATATTTCTCACCCCAGGGGACACAAAATCCAGCCCCAAGGGGATGGTGCAAAACCATCTCTCTCCCTCCCTCCGATACTCTGGGGTCACCTGGCCTCTGCAAGGTGCTATTCAGCAGGTTTTACAAGAATTCTTTTAAATAAATACCAGAGTCTTTCAGTGCAAAAAACCCCAACAACAACAAACATTTTACTACTGAGATATCTGTGTGGATCTTACCTTACTACACCTTGAAAGGGCAGAGTTTGCAACGTTATATATGAAAAATGAATTAGTTACAGATTGAGTTCTAAGACTGGTAAAGGTAGTTCGTTGCTATCATAATGCAAGTTTTTTTTTAAGGGTCATACTTTACTCAGTTGCAATAACAATCATAACTACCGGTAAAAAATGAATTAGTTACAGATTGAGTTCTAGGACTGGTAAAAGTAGTTAGTTGCTATCATAATGCAAGTTTTTTTTAAGGGTCATACTTAGTTGCAATAACAATCATAACTAAGTGCTTTCTGAACCACTACATAGGGTGGCATAGTTACTTTTTAGTTACTTTTTAAAACCCCCAACATGATACGAAGGCACCTTGATAGGATGCAAGAGATCCACAAGGCATCTCTAGGGTGTTCGAGCACCCACAGCAGTGGCATGGGCCAGACATTGTACCACATAATCATCCTCCATCATCATTCAGAAACTCTACACCTCTGTAACTATATATGTAAATAAAAATCACAGCATACAACAAGAGACAGTGCTGCTCACCAAGTCACAACACCAACAAAATTGAGTTGTGCCCTCATTATTAGGGATGGGGTGGGGGGGATGAATTGCAGCCACTTCGCCACTTTCAGGCCCTGGGGGAGAGAAGCCGGTACGTGGCGGGGGAAGTCAACAGCAAGAGTTACTCACGGCCGAAATAAGACCTTGGGACCATTGACCGTCGTCAGCTGCGTTGGCGGGGATGGCTCCAACCTATGAAAGACATACCATATACGCTGTTCATTCAAAGGGGTTATTTATCATTTCTTGCTTTCTTTTGCAGGAGCAGGAGTTGGTACGACTGCCAGATGAGGCAGGATAGGTCAGCAGTCTGAAGCTGGAAGGAGAGTCCAGAAGACCTGTTGTGGGGCAGGCCAACACACACACACACACACACAAACACACACACACACACTTTCTTGGGGATCGGGGCCTTTTGCAGGGGAAAAGAGGGAAGCTTGAAAGGAAGAGAAAGGTGGAAGCAAGGAGCTAGGGGAAAGTAGCGAGCGAGCAAGAGAGAGAAGGAGGAGCAGTGGATGTTGAGGATGATGGTGATTTTGAAGAGGGAGCCGCACTACTCACTTTCCCCTGGGCAACTAGCTCCCTCTGGGCGGCAGAAGCCGATTTGACCAAGGCGCTGGTGGCGGCTGCGATGGACTTGGCCGCTTCCAGGATCTGCTCCTCGAAGTCCAGCGTCTCGTCCGCCTGCTGGAAGCAGAAGAGAAGACCCTCGGCAGTGGTTCTCGTGACATGGCAGCCTTTCTGTGTCCCCCCCCCCGAAGGGGGACCCAAAGGAATGGGCCACCCCCCACGAAACCAAAAGAAGAAGCCTTGTCCAAAAAAGACCATCCCGACCTTCTCTCCCATCTTTCCTGCCATGGTGCTCATGAGAAAAAAAACACAGTGAGGGGTGGGCCGCACCAAGACGGCGGCCTTGCCAGAGCATCCGGGCTTCGTTCAAGAGGAAGGCTGCAGGCAAATCTCAGCAGGCTGGTTGCCTTGGCCACCAGGTGGTTTTGCAGGGCAAACCCGCTCCAGTGACATCCCACGCCAGTCGGCTGCTGTAGAATACCTCTGCCTTTGCTTTATTTAAGAACCTTTTGCAGGATAAGGCCAAAGCACTTTCATGATCCACTGGGTGAAGACAAAATTCATTCTCTGTGGCTCAAGCCCAGCCACTCATCCCAGCTACAGTAGATCCATTGAACCAGTGGGTTGACTTACCATCCAGCAGTTGATCCAATGAGTCTACTCTAGTTTGGACAAGCGGCCGAATTAAGGCCCGCGTCCTGAATCTCTGGATGAACTCACTGGATTCTTTTGGTCTCTCTTGCTATGGCACCCTAATCATGGGGCCTGCCCTTTTTCTGTACTTCTACAGCTTCTACAATATGGTTTTTTAAAAGGTGCAAACGGGCACGTCTATCGGTTCTGTGATACACTGGAAAAGTTGGTAAACATTTGGTAAAACCATCAGTGTCATTTCTGCCAGGAGCTGCTCTAGAGCCACGGAGAAGCAAGAAAGCCTGACAAAAAGGAACCAAAAGGAGCTGCTCTAGAGCCACGGAGAAGCAAGGAAGCAAGAAAGCCTGACAAAAAGAAACCAAAAAAGAAGAAGAAAGGGCTGAGATACTGAAAGGCCAGGTGGGGAGGATGCTGTTGCAGATGACAGGTGGGGCTCGGGAAGATCGCTAGGAAGGGGAAGGAAGTAAGAGACTAGCCAGGAGCAAGACCTGAGGAGCACCAAGAATGGCAGATGCAACGGAAGTAGGCAATTCCTTTCTAACCTCTGGCCTTCAGGACAGGCTGACCCGAAAACCTCCATCACCAACGTGATGAAAGCCAACTTCAGTGGTTACTCTTACAAGGTGTGGGAATACCTTTGCTGAGTACCTATCCTTTAAATCCCTGGACTTGGTGCTTCTGGAAAAGACCCAAAAGCCACCGGTTTTTCTTAGTTCTATGGGTTCAGCATGCGAGGTTTCAAGATCTTTAGAGGGAAGTTCTGCGGCCACACCTAGCAAGCCAAAAGGACACCTTGTGGCTACCTTTTTTTTTTGGGGGGGGAGTGCGCGCTAATCTTGGTTCTCTTTGCTGGTTTAAAAAGAAAACAGAGACCTCCAGGCTAGAGGCTGTTTGCCGCATCTCGTGGCACTGAGATCCACGTTGGCCACCTTCCCAAGCCACGGAGGAGGTGGGCTTTGGTTTTGCCCAGAACGGAAGCTGTTGGCTTCACAGCAGGTCTTCGAAATCTCAAAGCCTCTTTGCCGCTTTCACACAGCCTCTTGCCTTTTTTTTTTGAGTTTCTTTTAAAACGACAAAAAAAAGAGTCCCCGGAGATAGAGCGGGACACTGTAGGAATGTTTGATATATAGTTGGGCTAAATAACAACCTAATATATCAAACATATCACACAGAGTCCTGCAGGGAAAAAAATGAGAGAGAGAAAGAGAGAGACACACACACATATATCCAGGTTTGGACTCAGCTTGGAATAAATATCACACAGAGTCCTGCAGGGAAAAAAAATGAGAGAGAGAAAGACAGAGAGAGACACACACACACATATCCAGGTTTGGACTCAGCTTGGAATACAGACTATTTGGTGCCAAAGGAAGACAGCAGGGGCTCCTGAGAGAGAGAGAGAGATTTGCACCCCATCCACCCCCTCAAAGGCTGAAGCCAACAGCCCAGGATAGACAAAAAACATGAGGGCGAATAAGACAGCATCCTTCGAAACATCTGCCCGAAGACAAGGATGCATCACAAGAGCGTCACTGCCCTCCACTGCTTCCCGTCAGAAAATACACACATACCAAAAAAAAATCTTCTCTTTTTTAAAATATACCATGTAGAAGACCACTCCATTCCTATATCCTTTCTCTAGTCTTTTTTTTTAATCCTGCATGGGAAACATCCCGGATTAAACAGAAGATGACATCGTGGTCCAACTGGAAACCCAACAGCCCCCCAACCTGCTCAAAACCGCCACCCCAAAGTCTTTGATATTCAGTGGCCAATTTAAGAGACATTTATCTTTTGTGATTCTTGACTCCTGGATGTCTGAGGTCAGATGAATTTGGCCCCCAGGTCATGCCTGCTTCCGGGCCAAGGTTCATCTGAGCCCATATGGCTCTTTCCCATGCTTTCTCCAGGATTTAAGGGCCAAACCCCCTGCAGAGTTTTTATGCCAGCGGGACAGAACTGGTGAAGATCTCTCGTTGGTGAAGGGATGGAGGTGAAGACCTCAGTGTAGAGGTATTTGATGTTATCTGAGGAGTCACACCACCGGGTGCGAAATAGCAAACACCTGCGCCAGATTCTTACCTTGCACCCCTTTGCTGATGAGACCCCACGCCGACTGTGTGGTGCCAGTGGGCTCGACTAAGAGGATTTTGGCCTGTTTCTCTTCCGCAAGGCTGAGAAAGGGCAATCCTTGACGTTGACTACCGGAGACCCGGTTTCATCCTTTTACTCCAACTCCCAGGGCTTATTCAAGGATTGTGGAGAGGCTGCCAGATTCCCCACCCACCCATGTTCTCGGCAAGCCAGATTAGCAAAAGACAACTCTTGCCATCTAATTTGAATAACTTGATAACAGAATGGTCCCCAAAACGTTTGGCCTTCTTTAGTGTGGACTAACTTCCTGGAAAGCTGGCTGGATAGCTTATTGGTTAGGTCTCTAGTTGTGGAGCCGGAGGTTGCGAGTTCGATTTCCTCACGGGGCCTCCTGGGAGAAGGGCTAGCCTGGGTGGCCTTGGGCCAGCTGCACAGTCCCAGGGTCCCCCCCCCCAAGAAGAAGGGCATGACAAGCCATTTCTGAGTATTCTCTACTTAAAAAACCCTGGAAAGGGTTGCCATCAATCAGAATTGACTTGACGGCATACATTTATATGTATAACTTCCTGGAATAGAACTGAGTCCATATAAACTTCGGGAATGTGGCATTCCAAGACCCTGGGAATTTCTGAATTGCATGCAGAAAGCACCAATTCTGCCAAGATAAAAATCAGGGAGAAGAAAAATACCTACATCTCAGAAAAGTTAACTTTACCGGCTGCTGTACCAAGAACTTCACTCGTTTGTACTACAATCCCCATAACTCCCCAAGGCGATGCTGGGAGCCGTAGTATCTCCAACTCTCTGTTGTAATCTCTGCCTCCCCGTGTTTCTTCAGGCAGTCGGGTGAAGCCCTTGTCCTGCCGCCTGGTGGGAAGGGTTGAGGAGAGAGAGCTAGACCCGGATTGGGGCCCCCTCCCCACGCCCCCGGCTCACCTTGGGCTTGGCCCTCGGCTTCAGCTGCTCCAGCTTCTTGGCGGCTGCTTCAATAGAGGCTGCGGCTCCCAGCAGCTCCGTCTCGGCAATCACGGTCGGGTCCTCGGGATCTACCCATTCGGTGCCTAAAATTAGTTCACGGGGGAGGAAGAACGGAGAAGAGGAAGAAAGATGAGCCGCAGCCATCACGCCTGGGACTTGAGCAGCTGCTCTGAGAGACGGGCGGCGTGCGGGCGCGGTTCGAGTGCGGTTTGGGAAGCTGAGCCACCCTCACCTTTCATGGCTTCAGCCGACTGGATGAGCTCCGTCACGGCGCCTGCAACCCTCTTTGACAGGGCGGCCAGCTGGTGCTTCAGCTCCGGGGTCGGCTTCTGGAGAATCTAGAGGCACACGGGGAGAGAGAGAGGCAAATCCGTTAGCTGCTTTGGGTCCCATTCACGTGTCTGCCTGGGAGGGGGAGAAAGATGGGTTAAAAATAAATGACTACATTTTCGTGCTGCATCAAACATTTGCGGCGGTTGAGGATCCGATCATTATCCCCGTGGCAGCGGGTTTGGTTTCTGTTTGGAACAGCCCCCCCTCTTTCTTATTAATTACTTACTATTTTTAAATGTTTATATGACAGCCAAACAGCAATGTTTGCACCGGGTGGAGTTGGTGGCAATTAAGAAATGTGAAAAATAAGAACGGCCAGTAATATTGTAAATTTTACAGCAACTCGTTCTTGACGAGCTCAATAATTTAGGGATTTCACAACCAGCTGGCACCGTTTACAGCATCATCACAAAGCCAATTCAGAGTGAGGGCTGATGGGAGTTCTAATAAAACACTGTAGTTGTAGTTAAACACCAGGTATCTCCCCTTCCTGCATCATGAATTAGCCTCACTCCCCCTTTTTTTAAAGACACCCAAGTCCCAAACTGCCACTGCATCTTGTAGCCATGAGTTCCACAGGCTCGTTCTATCTTGGTTGGAAAAGGACTTTCTTTCATCCAACCCACTTTTTAAAAAATTCATTCCACTGCTACGTAATTAGTCTTTCTCTACCTTGTTCAAAATCCTATGCATTCAACCACATCTTCCTGATAAGAACCTCAGAACAGCCCGCCACTTTCTAAAGGCATTTTTAGAGGCATTTTATGGAATTTTTTTCCAGCTGTTCTTTCATTCTTTATTACCAATCCAAAGTATTTACAATCAAATGCAATGAAAAGTAGCAATGGCAACAGAAGCAATGGCTTAGGCATTTTTAATATTTCGCAACCAATGAGGAAGGGGCAGAAAATTGCTTTTCAAACAAAGTAAATAGCGATAAATTACTGTTAAAAGTAACTGTCGGAGGGCACTAAGTGATGGGGAACTTAAGGTGCTTTTTAAAGCCTGTAATTGTTCCACCTGGGGCCAGGGGGTATGATTCAGCGGCCTGTTTCTCTGCGGAGATCCAGGGCACCACAGCCCAATAAACATCCAAGAAAATTGGACCCACTGGCCTTTTAGAAAGAAGGAAAGCAGCCGCCGGCGTCCCCTGACAAGAAGCACCCAGAGCAATCATAATTTTGAGGTTCAACTGGTTTTCCACCTGGCCTATCGGCAATGCAGCAAAAAGCAAAATGTTTCAGACGGGTTCAAATTTATCAACTCCTTCCAAACGCTCGGACTGCAGAACACAAATCGTTTCCTTCCCAGGGAGCTCTTGGGGGGGGGGGGGAGGTGGAACGGGCGTCATCCTTCTTTCCATGCCACTTACTTTCTTAGCGATGGGCGGTCATGCCATTCCCCCCCCCTTGTTTCTCCTTTATCTGTATGCCAACACATGCTCATTAAGGTTAATTTAACAAGTGGCGTGCCAACTCTATACCCGGCCAAACGCAGGCTCGGTTGTGTTTGCTTTTGGATCTGTGGGCTCGTTCTTTTCAAAAAAAGGCTGCTTAGCCTAGAAGTGGTATCTCTAGCAGCCCAGTTGCTGTCTTGAGGCAGGGGCAGGCGGGGGGGGAGGAGAGGCCACCTTTCGTCCTTACCGTCAAGACATGTTCCAGCAGCTCAAGATAAGCCAAGGTGCATTCTGTCCCATAGCGGAGTGCTCGGGCCCGGACCTCCTCGTTTACGTCATGGTGGTAGGAAGCTTGCTGAGGATGCAAAAGGACACCTGGGTTGAATCAGGGCGGGACGACGAGGGTGTGACACAACACACCTCCTTCTTTACATCTCTGGATTCAGCGGGGCCAAGCAATTCAGAAAACTGTCATCAAAACATGTGTCCCTCCAGATCCACATGGCTGACAACAGAGTAGCCAGGAGGAAAATTTTCCCAGCCCTGTTGTCTGATACTGGAAACTGAAACTGGGGGGGGGGAATGCACACACCTATTACAAAAGAAACTATAATAAAGCCCATTCTTTTAAAACTGGGGCTTTCTATCAGCAGAACAGGAGCTCTGCGGCTGAGTGGCCCCCGTTGCCTAGGCAGAAGGAGCCCCACGACCCTCTGTTGATCAGTGTGCCAAAGGATTGTAACACACACACACACACACACAGCAAAACAACACAGAAAGCCATTCCCCTCTCGTGGTGCTGTTGGAGAGGAAGGTTAGAGGACGGAGCCCAAGGCATTACAAAACGTCAGCTAAGAACAGGAACATTTAAATAGGTAATATCAAGCTGTTTTGTAACAAAGTCCTTTGATTCAGATGCTTCCCAGAAAAATCATTCAAAGCCACTCGATTAAATATAAAGACACCAGCATTTAGGATTATTTTAAGAAAAGTAGAGTTGCTTCCAGGCTTTGCATAATAGATTTATATAGTCACCTATCTATCTATCCTCTCTCTCTCTCTGTCTGTCTGTCTATCTTTCTCTCTTTACCTTGCAAGCGGTCAGCATGTCAGACACGGCTTTGCGGCTGAGGTTGGCGGTGGCAATCACGTCCTCCTGCCGGCAGGAGTTTCCAGCCGCCACTGCTTTGGCCGTTGCCATGGTGATGCCTTTCGTCATCCGGATCGATTCCTCGGGCGATGAGGTCTTTTCGGGAACCTCCTTCGACTGAAACACCTGGGAAATAAAGCAGGAAACAAAACACAGGCACCCACCACCCCAAAAAATAAGTGAGGGTTTGTTTGTTTTTATTTTACAGCGGCCTGTCTTTGCATTTGGTTTTTGGCACACAAGCTATGAAAAAGACGCAGCAACTAGCAACAGCCTCTAGGTATGACGGGGAAATATATACATATATGTGTGTGTAAATAGAACAGAGCATCATCTTTCCTATGGTGGTGGTGAAGACATCAATTTCAGGTGGATTGGACACAGGTTGAGGGGAATGGAGAGATGCCTGCAACTCTGTGGTTGGAGATGATCAACCCACCAGCCATGCTCTGCTTGGTTTAGGATTTCAGATTTTGCTTTCATTATGACCACGAATGGAAAACTTTATGCCTGTCCACAGAGAAATCGAAGCCTCCTGTTTGCAGATTTAAAAGCAGCAATGCAGAAAAATTTTTATAAAGGAAAAAAAAAAAGCAAAAGGCAACTATATACAGCATAACAAATCTCAGGTTGCACAAATTTTGTGATGTTGCTGTCTGCATTCTATTTCATCTGCTGGTTGTCTTTATTATGAGCTTTAACTGTTTCTTGATGTTTTTCCTTTTCCAAGTTGGTCTTGAATGAAAACTGGTGAAGAGGAGCAGGTAAACATTTCAAGCGAGTCAACCCTTTTTTTATTTTGGCATGGCCCCGTTGACCCAAATTGAAGCAAAGCGGAAGGAGGACAAGCAGGAAACAAAAGGAGAACTAGGGTGGGAAAAGCCCCAGATGGTGCTTCCTGATTTTTTTGGCTTTAAACGCCATGCGTTGGATCAGAGCAGGGCAGATTTTTTATTGTTATTTATTTTTATTTTGCCTGCGGTGATGACTGCAGAACCCCTTAGCAAGTATAGTTAGGTGCCGAAGTTACCGTGAGTTCCTGCTTGATGTATTCGATTGTCGCCTCCAGGGCTCGAGTTCCTTTGGTGGCTTCATCTTCCACAGCTTTCACCGTCTTCAGAAGCGACGTCACGTTTGTGACCATCACCTAGGAAGACAAAGCATGGGAAACCAGGTCACCGCCGACCCTCAGCCAGAAAGCTGAAGAGATGTATACTGTATAGGCCAAGGAGAAAGCAACATATGCCTCTGGGGGAATTAAAAGAACGTAGGTAATTATGGTGAAGATGTGTAAGAGTCTCATCTACCCTTTGTGGCAGCAGCTGGGGTTTTTTGTGTGTGTCTCATATGCCAGCCACCCTGGGGAAAGGAACAGGAGGGAAGCAGTGCTCGAAATGCAAACTGCAAGGAAATGAAGATCCACAGGTCTAACCCTGGCACATGGTAAAAAGACTGCCGCCGACACACTGCATACCTTGGCAGCCCCCTTTAGCTGGTACATGGAGGGATCGTCGGCCGGTTTGCTCGCCGCCCCTTTGGTGGCACCGATCAGATCCGACAAGGCCTTGGCAACGTCTTTTATGGCATTGATCAACACGACCTGGCAGGAGGGGAAAAGGCGTCAGTGGGGGGGGGGTTACCTAGCTGGAGACGAAGCTGAAAGGAGAGCGAGCATCTCATCCTTGATCACAATCAAGAAAGGGGACACGGCTTATGCTCCTACACACTTATTAAGCTTTTAGTTCTTCATTGAGTCCGTGATGCCCCTGATCAGTGCCCCTCCCCAAATGGGGTGGGGGTGGCCCTCCAGATGCCCCCCCTGGCTGGGACTGATGGGAGGGGTAATCCCATTGCCATCTGGAGAGCTGTAAGCGAAGGAAAGTTGGCTTGGAGTTGAGGCAGAGGCTGATCCCTCCTTTGCCCTAATTGGCTTTGCCGAATGATCCGTCGAATTTGGATCCTTGCCTCCGTGCGCTAATCTCTTTTGGGGGATAGCTTGCACTCAGCCTTCCATGGAAATGAGATTTCCTTAATCTTAAGATGCACTTAACAAACAGCCTAAATAAGTTGAAGCACTGAAGCAGCGCGGGCGAGAGTCAAGAGGGCAGAGAGAGCTTGGTCTTTAGGGCAAAAGCGAAAGAGGGTGACAAGGAAGCCCAACCAAGCTGAGCAGAGCCAGCCCTCACCCCCCAGCCACTGCCCCCTACAAAACGGGAGGGTCCCAGAGAAAGGGCTGGTTTCCTTGCGGCTGCAATTCTCTTGTCGAATAAAACAGGGCGAGGGAGTTGAGGATATGGGATGCCATGGAGAGGCAGTGGCGGGAAGCAGTTAGAGCCTGGGAATCTCAACTTTGGAGATCCACGTTCGCACCCCCAGTCTCTTGTCGAATAAAACAGGGCGAGGGAGTCGAGGATATGGGATGCCATGGAAAGGCAGTGGTGGGCAGCAGTTAGAGCCTGGGAATCTCGACTTTGGAGATCCACGTTCGCACCCCTGGCGTGCCGTGGAACGCAGTGGGCGATGGGGGGGGGAAATCCCCTTCTGCCAGCCTGGCCCACCTTGCAAGGTGGTTGCGATGGGAAAACAGGCAGGAGGAGAGAAGCGCAAATCACTTGAGGACTAGCAGGACAGGAAGGTCACTGCTAAACGCGTAAGCATAGGAAGTGACGCCAGCGAGCCCAATGAGATGCAGATGGTGTAAAAGTTGGGGCCAGGGGGTTTCCCAAAAGGAGGGCTTGGGGTCTCTGGTGCAGCAGCCCGGGAGATGTTGGGGGGGCCCCCTGAGACCTCATACCTGAGTTTCCGGGTCATTGGATCCCAGGCTGGCCGCCCCCAGTTTCACCACCTCGGCCAGGTGGGTGATGGTGCTTGCTGACGACTGGGCCGCCTGCGCTAGCCGGTCCTGACTGGAAGCCGCTCCGGAGACCAGAAGTTTGGTATCTTCCACCAAAGCTTTTGCTGTCTTCAGAATATTTTCCCTGGAGGGGAAAAAAAAATGAGAGGGTGAGAAACACAGGGAAGACTCCGCATGTTTCTCAGCTGTTTGCTGGAGTCAGTTTTACCTAATGGGTTCCTTGTTTTGTTTTGTTTGATTGTACGCTCGCTTGCTGGCTCGTTCCTTCATTCATTTATTCGTTCGTTCTTTCCTTCATTCCTTCCATCCATCATCAGCTCCTCCCTCCTTCCCTTCCTACCTCCCTACCTAAAAGGGGAACGTTAAGTCCTTTCCCTCTGGAAACTAGTACGAAACATCCATCATCAGCTCCTTCCTCCCTCCTTCCCTTCCTACCTAAAAGGGGAATGTTAAGTCCTTTTCCTCTGGAAACGAGTACGAAACTGTGCCTCTTACATGTAGTGAACCAGCTCCTGGGTTTCTGCTAGGTTTTGCTCCTGTGTCTTTAAGCATACCTTTGCAAATGGTAAAAACCCATTAAGAGTCTTCTCAAGGAAAAACCACAGGGGGAATGGAGGTGCTTCAAGGCTTTTAACAATGAGAAGAACACATCCCTGTAAATTACATCATCTTCCTACAAGAACTTCCAGGAACATTAGATTAGCCTTGTGTGTGTGCCTGGTCTCACATGCCTCAAAACCATGGCGCATAATACCAGAGAGACTGACAAAGTCTAAGCCACAGAATCTCAACGCACCCCAGTTTTAGAGGCAAGCAACATGTTCCAGCAGTTGTTTACCAGTGCAATGCCCTAATGAGTTTCCACGGTAGCAAGGATTCGAATCCAGATCTCCCGAGTCCTAGTCGGAGCCTATGTCTATTATGTCACACTGGGTCTCAACCTGTGCCGAGGACACTAAAATCCCATAGCCAGGAGCTCAGAGTGTGCCAAGACATGGGGGCAAGATGGTGATGTATACTGTTTATTGTCCGAAATTCGCAGAGTGACGGTCTTATTCTCCCCTGTCCATGCTGCAGGATTCCAGGAAGGCTGCAAACAGTTCCTGGAGGTGCACCAGCCCTCCCAGGGAGGCCTCGGACATGCGCAGGTGCCTGCAGGACACACCGAGGTCCCTCATTCTGGTGGAAACCTGTGGGATCCCGTGGAAAAGTGAAGTCTCACCCTAGGCCATGGAGCTGAGGGGGAGGCTGAACTCGATGACCTCTCCATTATGCCAGGATTTACTCCAATAGGATTGTCTTTGGATAATGCTGACGTTTTATGCAGCCACAGAAAAAGAGGAGGGAAGTTAACAGACTGAGAGCTGACAGGACAACGGTTCTTCCAACGGTTTGGAAACCTGTCACATAGAAGATGAAGCTGGATCATATCCTGTCACGCCAAAGGGCAAAACCCGAACAAAATTGAAGGCCACTGAGTTATCCAGCCGTTTCGACAAGCACAGGGCTAATCCCATGGAATCCTTCTCCAGGTGGTGGAGGAAAATGCTAAAAGGGACAAAAACCCATTTCCAGGTATTTCTTCCTCTCTCCTGCCCCCCCCCCCCCGCCATGGAGACAGGGAGGGCTAGAATAAGCAGTACAGTATGTTTAATAGAATTTTTCAGAAAGTTCAGCACTTCCATTTAGTTTGGAGACGGTATTTGAGCCCACCCCACAGGATCCTCTTCCATTCAGGGAATCGAAATAGTTTGTTATGTGGGTTGGGGATTGGGTTTCTCTTTACAGCCAAGAGGGAGCAGCTGTTCAAGTAGTGTAAAAATGTAGGTGCACAAAAATTTCATTTAGGCGAAAGGAAATTAAAGCAGCTTCTCAGCTTTACTTATCACAGACACCCCCGGCTCACTTCTTTTTTTTTCTTGCAACAGCGCGTCTGTGTTGATCTTGCTTTGTGTGTCGAGTGGAACCATATTCCACTATTATTATTATTTAAACCCTTTATTAAAGACACTTTCCTCAGAAACCATTAATCGGTTGCTTCTTTTTTGCACACATACAAAAATGCAATTTCGAAATAGGCCAAGAAAGTAAGAAATTAGAGATCCTTCTGAAGCCTTCAAACAATCTTTAGGGCTTTCTCCAGAAAGCTTTCATTAATGTGGAATTACGTGCTGGAAAGCAATAATAATAATAAAAAAAGAAGGCTGGGAGAAAATAGAAGAGTTTTAAAGTCTGCTAATCAGACTTTCTCCCAAGACTGCCTTTTTCTCCCAGAGAAGAGACCGATTTGCGTCTCCTAGAACTGCTGCTAAATTAAAAAATAATGGAAAGCAACTGATGTTTCCACCTCAAAACATGACTGCCTGCGGCTGAATCCAGGTGGCAAAAGACAAGGAGGAACCATCGGTAGAGGATTGTTTAATAAAATGACAGGAACTAATATTAATGGACAGACTAACAGACTCCTTGAAAGAGTGGAACGGAGCATGAATCCCAATGGGGGGAAGTAAAGAATTATCTCAAAGAGAAATGGAAAATTCCAAACCTGTACTAAGTGAATTAGGCCTAAATTAGAAGCAGAACCCCTCTCAATAGAAGTAAAAACAAAGTAAAGCAGATGGTTAATAAGGATGCAAAATAAGAATTAAGAAAAGTATTATTAAGATTGCAAAGAAAATAAATGTTTGGTGGAAAATAAGGAAGTACAAATGTTAAAGACTTACTGTTTTGCGAAAGAGATAACAGAAAGTTATTTTAGTTAGGTGCCAATATTGTGATAATTATTTACTGATTTTTGTAATTTCTTTTGTAAATGCAATAAAGATTAAAAGTTTTTAAAAAAACATGACTGCCTGGATCTGAGAAGAGATTAAGGGGTTTTAAGTGGCTTGAGGCAAGGTCCACTTCTCATGGCATGTCCAGTTAAATTCTCTTGCCTCCCTCAATTTAAGCTCCTGGATGTACAGTTCTGGGAGGTTTTTTTGAAGCAGGACAAAAACCTCCATCACCTGTTTGATCAGAAATAAAATGGAGTTTAACCATGCTAGGAGCAGAAGGTTTCCCTCAGGATTTCGAACCATTTTATCTACCAGTTCTGTACCGACAAAATTCATGAACACAAGGGTGTCTTCTGTGGGGGAATATTTGCATGTACACTGGTTTGTTAATGTTCCTGGACTACAAACCCCATCATCCTCGATGGCTAGGACGCTGGTGGAAGTAAACGGATTTATAGATAGCCATCTGAGACAAAGATTTAGACAGCAGCTGGCTGGAGAAGGTTGAAATACCCTCAGTTCACAAATAGTTTCTTTACAGACCCATTGAGCTCCACTTTGGGTTTAATTTTTAATTTTTGCCTCTGGGCTAGATTTCTGCCTTTGGACGGGCTGGGTTAGGGAGCAAATCCTGGCACCCCACTGACCTGTGGTCTGCAAAGGATTCGTTGTTCTCCGAGTTCAGCGTGCCGGCCGTGGCGAACATGATGGTGGTGTCCAGATCGGCAATGATGCCGGCCACGGCGCTCGCGGCCGTGATGCATGCCTGGGTGCCTTTGTTTCCTGCCTGCAGGGCCGACAGCACCAGCGAGACCTGGCCGGAAAGAAACACAAGCCAAGTAAGTCAGCTGGAGAGAGAGAGAGAGAACCCCACATTTCGTGGCACAGAGGTTCACGTGGACTATGAAAATGGCTTTGCAGGGTGCACGCCCTACAGAAACATTCCACGTTTGTCTGTTTTTCTCCAAGGACGGTTTTTGATAGTGGGGAAAAAACTTGGGACTTTGGGGAACTGAAGCAAAACATGCCATTCCTTTCATTTTGGAAAGGATGAAGCGCTTTCAGAGGCCAGGTTTTCTCACTCAGAGTGTAAGTGTGAAGACTGGAATGTGACACAGCTTACAGAATTTAGAGAAAGATCACTTGAACCCAAGATATATTTCTGCCCCCAGTGGGTGCCGCCTTCTTCATAAAAGGAACATACGCGTGCGTTGGGGAAAACGATTCCGTCGCTCATTGAAAGCCCTGCAGAGCATGTAGCAATTGGCACCCACTTCTCTAAAGTTGGGTATCTTTCTAGTTTTGCTTGTGCAAAAATAGAGACTTTTTAATTTTTACATTTCATACATAGGATAAATTTTGCAATTTTATACGCTAATGAATGTTGTGGGTTTTTCGGGCTCTTTGGCTGTGTTCTGAAGGTTGTTCTTCCTGACGTTTCTCCCGTCTCTGTGGCTGGCATCTTCAGAGGACTGGAGTAGGAACTCTGTCCATGCTCTATTGGACTGAGAACACCTGAGTTCCTACTCCAGTCCTCTGAAGATGCCAGCCACAGAGACGGGAGAAACGTCAGGAAGAACAACCTTCGGAACACGGCCAAAAACCCCAAAAAACCCACAACAACCATCAGATCCCGGCCGTGAAAGCCTTCGAGAATACATTTATACACTAACTCATTGTGGACAAAGCCTTTTGTGTTGTTAAAGCGGTAAAATAAATTAAGGTTTGTTATGAAAGTAAGTATTGTGTTCCTTTAAATTGCCCCCAAAATTTCCCCCCCCTCCCCAGAATGGGGAGAATCATCCTTTCTCCTTCCCCGTTGCTTCGAAATGTCTAGACCTTTGACATCCCAAAACTGGCCTTTGAACTCAGAGATCCCAAGGGAGCCGGCAAGGGCCAGCCGAGAATATTCACAAGGATTCACCTTCTCGCTGACCGCCCGGGCACACTCGATCAGCTCCCTCTTGGTGTAACTGTCCGTGGGGCAGATCTGCAGGGCGCCAGCCTTCTGGACCAGAAAGATGCAACTGTGACCCAGCTCCTGGACCCGTGTTCGGATCTGGAACCCGATCTGGAAGGCCAAGCGGGAAAGGAGAAGGCAAGAAGTGCAGAGGAAAAACGGGGAAGGGAGAGAAGGAGATAAGAACAGGCTGTTCAATTACTGCGAGACCTGCTTCGTGGACATTGCCCCAGGAGGAGCGCTCCAGGGGCTGAATGAAGGCCGATGCCCCTTGACAGGCTTATAAGAGGTCCTGGCAAGTGGACGTCACGAGATGAGCAATGGCAGAGGGGGGTGTCACGAGACACCGGCCATCGTTCCAGCCTCTTTTCTTCCAATGTCCTGCCCAAGAAGGCTGAGACTGTCACCAGATCAACCCCAAATTCTGTCACAACCCACACAGCAGAATCTGACTCTAAAGCATGCCGTGATAGACAAGGGGCTGGTTAAATCTGTGGGGGGGGGACTTGTGAGCAGACGGTGAGGGAAGAGAGGCCTCCCTCCAGTACGGATCTGACTTCCCATCCACACCGTGGCACAATGCGTTCAATCAAAAGACAACCGCGAAGGGCAGACCTCCTCGGGTTCTGCGGTGGCGGCCGCCATTCGTCCCTGGAAAGCCAAATGGCCATAGTCCGTGGTCATTTGCGAGGCCAGCCCTCCCAGCTCCTCAGGATTCGTCACCGCCTTCGTCATCTGGAAGAACACAAAGCGAGGAAATGGGGTCTCTTATCCGGACTAGAGAGGTGGGGTGCTGAACAGCCAGATGGGGAAGACACTTTAATGAAGGCAACCAACACTTAATTAAAGAGCATAATTTGCTGACAAGCTTCAGGACATTTCCCTTCTCTATCTACCTTTCTGCTGAAATTTCCTTTGGTCATTAGAGCCTCCACGTCCAGGAGCAGTGCAGCTTAAAATGCCAGGGGTTCGGGGCAAGCTACAAGGATCAGCGAGCTCCGTTTCTTAGGCTTGGCTTGTGAACTTCCCTGAGGTAGGTCTGCATGACTGTTTTTCCCAAAAGGAGGGCGGCCCCCTTACAACCTGAGCTTGAAACAACTTCACAATTCCCATAAGCCCCATGCAGGATCGTCAGGCAAAGGGATGATGGGGTTTGTAGTCCAAAAGGCCACCTACTTTCCCTCCCCTCCCAATTCTAATGGGAAGATGGACCTCAGCGTGCCTTGGTGTGGATCAACAACGGTATGGATCTTACCATCTCTTGGGCTGTGACAGCGATAGCTTTGGAGTATTTGACCACGGTGGTCTGGTAATCCACAAAGGATCCCTTGGGCTCTGGTGGAGTGCCCTCATCCAGCTGTGGGGCAAGGAAGGAAGGAAGGAAGGAAGGAGGAGAAATGAGAAGGAGGAGGGATGGTTATCGATATGGCACAGACAGGGGACGTGGAGAGACAACACAAAAGCTACATGCATAAGAACTACTCTAAGAGGAAGGGCCATAAATTGTGTACATGAGTAGAACTTGAAAATCTTGCTGTTTCAAATTGCAGCTCCCCCCAAAAAGCTCCCAGGTCTGGGGAGTTGTACGTGATTCTACAAAGACAGGGTTCCAAATTCTGATAGCTAGGATTTGCATCACGAGAGAGTCAGTTTGTACAACTATATTTTATATAATTTTTTTTTAATAACTGGGTCGTTTAAAGGAAAAGTCAATGCACAGAATCGTGGACAAGTTGTGGAGAAGGAGGGAGACCGAGTGGAGGGGAGGGGAGAGAGGAAGCGGCCCTGGGTGACATGGCGGGGAGGGGTGCACGGAATTCTTCACATCACTCCCCTGCGTCCGTCGCTCACGGCCACGTTGGTGGAACTTCCATCCAATTTTCTGCTGGTGACTGAAGAGCGCAGGAAGGTTGCGTCTGATCCCTCCCCAGCTCCGACCCCTGGAGGGTCTGCATTTCCTTTATTTCCAAAGGAGATGCTGCTCAGGGGCAGAACAGAATGAAGCCCGCCGAGAAGAGATGGCTCCCAACATCGTTAAAAAAAAGCAGGAAAAGGTTTCGACAGCTGGAAGCCTCAGTGGATCTATCCCAGGAGCTTTGGAGAAAGGCATCATCCCAGCCCCCACCCCCCCGGACAGGGCGGAGAAAGGAGCCGATCCTTACAGACCTTGCTCATGGCTTCGGCGATGGAGTCCACCATGTTGCCCACCATGCCCACTTCGCTGGCTGCTTCGTTCAGGGTGACCATGATGTCGTCTACAGCCTCCTTCATCAGCTGAGCCGCTTCCGTGATGGCGTCATGCGTGTGTGAGGCCTGGGAGACGTGAGAAAGAAACAGAGCATTGCACAACAGCTGGCTCTTCCTTTGGGGCAACAGGTCTTGAGTCCTGCCGCTCTGCGTGAGAACAGACCTGGAAATGTTTGTGTGTCTAAATGGCCTCCTTTTCTGAACCTACAAGAGTCCCGACTGAGAAAACAGAAGCCCTTCTGAAGCGTGGTGGCAGCGGTGAGATGGCCTGGGGATTCCCCCTTCTCAGACAGATTTTGGTTTGAGACTCTGTGCCATCTCTGCTCAATTACCCTCCCCCCCAAAAAAACCAAAACCCAATCAACCAACCAACCAACTAACCAAAAAAACCAAGTTTTTAATGTGCTTCAAAGTGTCTGTAGCACAAGAGCATTCAAAATGTGATTGCCGACACAGATCATATTTTTAGCCTTCTGACATGCCAACTGTTATTTTTTTCCTCCTCTGGAAACCTCTTCTGAGAAACCAAACCCACCCACCTGCACCCCTATAAAGAGAGGGCCAAACCAGTAGCAGAACAAGGTAGAATAGATGTCAACCTACTTCAGGCTGAGGGTGAAAGATAAGACAAGGGACTCTTCCCCTTTGTTAAATCCCTCCTGCAAAGTCAGCTGAACAGACAAATGGCCAGCTCCTCCATCTGCCAGATTCCCGTGGGCAGTAAATTTATTATGTGGGGTATTTAAAAATGCACCTTCCCCCCACTTCCAGTTCGAAGTGGCCACCATGTCTGGCGAGACCATTTCTTAGTACACCGTCTTCACTTGCCATTTTTCACATACACAAACCCAATGGCCATATGGATAAGACTACAAAAGTTAGATGATCTGTGCAGTTAACAGGATCGCCATTGGGGAGTGGGGGGTGGGATGAAACATTTATCTCAGATCGAAATCAACCCGAAGATATACAACTCGTGAGAGCTGGGTTTGAATCCCTGCTCGTCCATGGACCCTTCATGTGTGTGTTCGGGGTGTGGCAGCCACAATTATAACAAGGAAATGTTCAAGAAATGATGGGTTTAGGTGCCCCCACCAGTCTCCAGGGTGGCCTACCTTGGGGTTCCCTCCCCCCTCCTTGGCGGCGTAAAGCATCTGGAGGGCCGACTCTGCCAGGGTCTTGGTCTGGTCCAAGAGGTTCATTTGCTGCTGGTGGCTCATCACTTTGGAGACCACGCCCACGGCGGCAAGGACCAGCGGCTCAAAGTAGCCGGCCAGCTGCATCACCTAAGACGGAAGAAAGAGGACCACACGGGTCATCGGCTGGAATTCTTCCTTGGAAACAAATGCTGAGTCCACAGCTCCATGGGTAGCTGGGATGGATGGAGAAAAAGGTTAGACCTGAAAGGCTGGCATTTCCTGGACTCTAGAAGCAGAAGCGACAAAATGGAGACCGCCATGCACTGGGCCTATCAGGAGAAGACGAGACTCAAAGACTGTCCACTGTCATACTGGGAAAAGTGGAAGGCAGCGGGAAAAGAGGAAGACCCAATACGGGTTGGACTGACTCAATCAAGGAAGCCACAACTTTTAGTCTGCCCCTGGCCTGAAGCCATGCCTTCATTGTTGCCTCCAGAACCACAGAAAACCAAACAAACTTCTCTAGTCCGTTTGGGGTGTTTTTCTCTATCCTGTAATAACGTTCCCTGACTGGAAGCAGCCGTCCGGTGGTCTCTGAGTCTCCTACCTTGTGTCCCAGTTGAGCGGCTTCCCCCCGGGCGGCTGTAGCGATGGGGTCGATCAGATGCCCGATTTCCTGGACAACGGAGGTCAGCTGCTCCTGCAGGGCCTTGGGAAGGAGAAATGAGACTGGATGGTCAGACCGCCAAAAATAGGACCCTCACCCAAAAGGTCCTCCATCGTACCAAAGATCCAGGCATCGAAAAAGAAGGTGGGAGAGCCACTCTCAAACTTAAGCAGCCCCTGCTCGCCCTGTGTCTTCTGCCCCTCGGCCTCTGAGTCCACCTCAAGTCTTAACCGAACCGGGTGCCCTTCGGGTGGACCAGACGATGCAGCTGCACTGGCTGAGGATGATGGACGTTGCAGCTCAAGGCACCTGGAGAGCGCTCGGTTGGGGGAGGACAGTTTACGAGAATCAGAGCTTTTCACCTACAAATCTCAGAATCCCCTGACATCAGTGGCCAGCGTCCCAGGGAGCTGGGATATTGGAGATAGGGTGGTTCCTTCCCACCCCTCCCTACGAAAAAAACAGAAGGAGCAAAAAAGTCCCCTAAAGGTCTCGCTCTTTCTGGACAGAACTCTCGGAAGGCTCAGGAAGGGCACGACCCTTCCTCTTCCCAATATAATGTTTAAATCCATGGAAGCTGACTCCCAGGGCATCTCGGCTGTTCTCCAAGCTTCCCCTTCATGCCAGCTTTCCTTTGTTCCTCTCTGGGACCTCCCTGTTCATTCCCCCCTCCAAGACTGACTCCTGGGCCAGCCCCTCAGAAGGAAAAGCGGGCTTAGAAACCGCTCCTGAAAAATCCTCACTCCGCCATCCGTGAAGAATCGGCATTGGCTTCCCATCTTCCTTGAACCAGCTTTGCTCATCTGGAAGCAGTGCATTGTGGGAAAATCTTCCCGCTCTGTTTGCAGTCCGTTAATTCCCTGCCCCCTCCATAAACCATACAAACTCAGACGTTGAGCTGAGCACACACACAGAGAAAGAGAGAGAGAGAGGCTGAGAGGGAAGCTTTTTTCTGTCTGCACAGCGTGTCGCACCTCAATAGAAATGTCGTCCCGCGTGGCCAGGTTTTGGCTGACGGCTGCAAGGGAGGCCTGCTCGATTTCCCGGACGCACCTGTTGATCCCGTCAATGGAGGAATCACACTCCCTCTGCCCAGGAGCTTTGTCTCTGCAAGGCAAAAGGAGGTTTGTGATTAGAGATAGGATTACAAATGCGAAGCGCAGTGCCACGTACGTCCATCCCATCCTAGCAGAAGCAGCCCGGCACAATCTCCAAGCTCCACGCAGCATGCACGTCCATTGTCAGCGACATCGCACTAACCGAGGAAGTAGCTGGGTTCTTCTCTTCCCTGCCTCCCCATGCAGCCAACCCCTCCGGCAAGGAGGTGGGATGGTGAGTCTCTCCCCTCAGCTGTTCAGTGGTCAGGTGTCAGGGGAGGTGGGGCAGACCTGGTGGGCCTACTTCAGAGTTTGGCGTGATGTCGCTGACGAAGGAATGCAAGCACTGCGTGGAGCCCGGTGAGTGGACCAGGCTGGTTCTGGGGGGAGGGGACGGACCTCTGTGGCATATGCAGTGTCGCACTTCATATCCTCAGGGATACGAATATGAAACTCCTATCTCATCTTGTGATCTCAAAGGCAGAGGGTTAAAATATCAGAACCATCACAATTAGCCAGCCAGATAACCAACAGTGTAGGGGACCCCATGTTCCGAGTTCCAAACATGTTTTCCATTTCATTCTGACCTTATAGCCTTAAAAACAGTTAGCTGGAGATTCTCTTCCCCTTGAACACTCATCATCACACTGTTTTGGAGTTATTCTGTTTCAGTCACACCAGTAAGGATGCCCCCAACCTGAATGTTGCAGATGGAGGGAACAACCCTTCTCTGTCCCTGGCGTCTCGCCTTTCCACTCTCTTGAAGCGGTGAGAAGCTCATGTCGTAACCGAAGACGTGATACGAATCAGCAATTCGCAGCACAAGACCATAAGAGTTCAGGTTGCACTTTCCCTTTTCTCCCCTTTCCCCCCCTCCTGCTTTGCAATCCTTAAAGAGTTAGTTTAGATTCACAGTATGGGGTAAAAAATAAAAGTCATTTTTTTCCCTTTGCAATCCTTAAAGAGTTAGTTTAGACTCACAGTATGGGGTAAAAAAGTCATTTTTTTTCCTACAGCTGAAAGTGAGACACTATGGTTAAATATTTATTACTTTCACGACACGCAGCTGTGCTCAAGGATTCAGGAAGACTCCTTCCATGATCTGTGTGAGTGTGTAGAATACTTTTTCTGCTGTCTGTCTGTCTGGTCAGCTAAGACTCAGGGCATACACAGGCAAACTTGGCAGGTGAAATCCAGATGAGCTTCAAGGAAGCAGCGCCAGCAAACTGAAAATGACATTCTCAAAATGGAGGCTATTCAGGGAACCTCAAAATTAAAAGCGAAACAAGGACCCAACTGAAGCCTTCACGGCTTAATCTCTGTGACCAAGTTCTTCCTCCACGTATTGTCTTTTGCAAGAGAAGAAGACCGGATTTTCCCAGAAGGGAAGGAGCACAGTTTGAATGGAGAGAACCTGTTTTGCATTTAAAAGCACTCAGGTTTCATCCTCCTTTAAAATAAATCTCAGGAAAAAGGTAGTGGGATTGGATCCCTTGCTGGGTGTCTCCCAGTCAGAGAACAGAAAACTGGGGTACACAGACCGCCAGTCAGGCGGGGCAAAGGCAGACCCCTCTCTGTTTCTAGGCACAGGGCCTTTTCAGTGGTGGCCCCAGCGTCCTTGCTGAAAGCAGATTTTCTTTGTTCTCGCCTCTGTCTTCTACCCGTCTTTGAATGAGACCCTCTCCTAAAGCAAATGATGGTAACAGAGCAAGCAACCTGGGTGTATTCCCATGTTGCTGACCGGCATAAAGATATAATTAAAAGAAAAAAAGAGAGTAAGAGGCGAGGCAGACCTAATGGAAGTGATGAGGCTCTTAATAGACTCGGACACCGTGTGCGAATGTCCAGCCAGGACGGACCAGGTCGACGGGTCCTTGGGGTTGATGGCCAGCGAGCGGGCCGTCTTGATCAAGGACGAGGAACTCTCCAGCATCGTCCGGGCTGCGGTCAGGATGGGTTCTTGAGCACGAGAGCCCTGGAGAAAATGAGGGGTCCGGTTACTTCCGTTGCGATTCCTGGGCTTTGGAAGCAAAATGCTACAAATAACGATTCTCTCCTTTTGGGAGGTAACTGATTTTTAAAGGTATAGCTAGAGTGTGTGTGTGTGTTTGTGTTTGTCTCTCTACTGGGTTGTAATTTGCTTCACCTCCCAGTGGCTCATAGCATTTTAATAATGTCTTTTTTTCCTGAAAGAAGCCTGTGAGCTACTTTTGAATAATGGAGAACATATTCAGCTATCTACTAAAAAGTTTACAATGATAACTAATTACCGGTGTGTGTCCTGGGAAGCAAAACCACAACCAATTATTTTTTTAAAAGCTCTTTTTCATGCTCTGCCCCAGTTTGGGTTAACCGGGAGATTAAAGCCTCCTTCCCTGACTCCATGATCTGCCATTCCCATGCACAAGCCAAGTTTCTACCCTTACAAACCAGGATTGAATCACAGATCAATAACCTGGTTTTGGACTCCCAGGGAAAGAGGATTGCCCGTGTTGGGTTGTCGTGTAGCTGAAGGTGGGACATGATGGGTGAGGTCAAGGAGCCTCCTAGTTCCTAAGAAAAGCAGAACGGTCAAGCTAAGCTGCCGTGAATGAACTCGTAACCTCTATTTTCATTTATCTCTGGGATGAGCGACAACAGGGCCATCGAGAAAGGGCTGGGCTACCACTCCCATCTACCCTTGCTTGTGTGGCCAGTTGTGAGGGACGATGGGAGTTGTAATCCAAACTCACGGTTTCTCACCCACTCTTAATTTATCCAAATGCTAAAAACCTCAAGCTCCAGTAAACTAAGGAAGGGCTCGGAGTTCGTATGTGGAAACCCTTCATTTACCTCCGCGCTGATCTGGGCCGGGATGCTAACGAACTCAGGGTTTGACGCAAAGGCCGTTAAGTTCTCCACAGCTTCAATCAATGGGGCTGTGGCGATCCGGCACTTATTACGGTTGTCTTCGGAGAAATCCCCATCTAAGGCCTAAGAGGAAAACAAGAAAATGGGGTTCAGATTTTTTTAAAAAGGACAGAGAAAGAGGGAAAGATGAAGAAAAGCAATTTGTGATAGCTTCAAGAGATGATTGAGGCAGCCTGCTTTCTTCCCCCGTCTGGGACTGCGAGGATCAGGAGACTTCTGGGGTGGGTGTGGGTGTGGGTGGGAACAGGGAGGGGGTCAAGGTTCAAACCAGATCCCAGAAATGGAACATTTTGGGGTCGTAGCTTCCAGAAAACTCTCAGTCAGCACACACGACGAACCACACAAGTTCAGTAAAACTAATTGATTAAAAACAGTTCTGTTTAGGTCGGTTAATTACCACCACAAAACTTTCTTCTAATATGAGGGTGGTTTTTGTTTTGTTTTTATGTGTTCATTTTTAAAACTTGTTTGTATACTCATGTTATTTTTTTGGAAGCCACTCCAGAGCAGTGACCGGTCCACTAAATAGATGAGGTATAAGTCTATGCAAACAAACAAACAAAAAGAAACAAATAGATGGATGGATAATATTGAGAGATCTCTCAAATAAATGTCAGAGACCCCCAAGGATGGAGAAGTTCTCTCCTGAGGCTATCCCACGCTTTCTCACTTTCTGGAACTTCTAATTTTTCTCACAAAAGAGAGAGGAACATCCTGTAACTGTGTGTTGTTGTTGTTGTTTTTTTAAATGAAAAAACCAAAATGAAAACAAAACTCCAGGGATGGGTAAGGATTGAATGCTGACGAAGACTGGCTTGCCCGTTAACCCCCCCCCCCCCGAAAGGTTCTCCATACAGTACCTTGATGGTTTTCACCAGGTTGGCCGTGCTGTTGGCCACCTCCTTGGCAGACTGGACAAAGTGCCGCTTGGCCACCGGGTTGGCGGTCTTGGACGACGCGAGGCGGCAGGCGTTGCAGAGGGCGGAGGTGTGCTTGGCCACAATGGTGGCGGCCGACAAGACCTAGGAAGCGGAAGAAACCATCACGGAGCTGAGAGGGCAGGTTAGGGGGCCAAACGGCTTGGCAGGCAGAGGTTCCCCGGGTCAACCCCAGACGTCTCTCCTTAGGACAGCCTTCAAGGAACAAAGCAGCCCAAACACATCTTCAGGATTGGAATGTGTCTGCAAAACTCATTTTTGCCCACAATTCCTTCAATGTTCTTAATTTATGATTTCTTTTTTTGTTGCTTTGATTTCTTGTTAAGGTTTAATTTCAGCATCTGTTACCGGCCCAGAATAGTGTTTTGCAACTAATGAGGCAGTATATAAACTTATGACATTTCTGAAATAAATGCTATACATGGCCAGTAAGAAACCAAGCCTATCCTTGAAACAAGCAGGGGGATTTTTTTTTTTGCATGCTCCAGACCCAAAACCTCTGGTAACTTTTCTTCTGAACCACTTAGGCACCAGATTCTGCTCCATCCCTGGAAACTGGGGAGGCCTCCAGCTGTTTCCAGTGGGGGGGGGAAAATCCATTCCAGACTTTACTCTGAACTTTAACAGCATTGTCACTCCCTGCCTTTGGAAATAACATTCAGCACCCTGGACAGCAGCTACAGCATCCAGACTAAAACATGGAGGCTGCTCACTCCCCCTGTGAAACCGGAGAGGCTCACCCGCTCCCTTGGTTCTCGGCCGTGCAACCGTGTCCAGATCATAGCTAGGAAATGGTCCTTTTTCTTCAGGACAACCCCCAGCATCCACTGAGCCAAACCCCCCCGCCAGCATCCAGGGAGCATTACCTGGGATGGGCTGCTCGTGGGATCCACTAGATTCTGACAAGCCATCTGGATAGCCTGATTGGCCCTGGCAAACTGGATGGGATCCACCAGGCCTTGCTGCCCAGCTTGGCTGTTGGGATCCGAGATGCCGACCAGATACGCAGCCTAGACAAAAGCAAAGACACAGTCACTCTCCCAAAAGGCCCAGAAAAATAAATCCTGGCCATTCTGGATCACGCGGGTTAAAAAAACTTGGAAAAGTTACAACTCAGGGGAATAACTTTTCCAAGCACTGGATCATCCCGTACAGAAAGCAGAGGGCTGGGGTCTGTAAACCAACACACTTTGTAGAGACAAAATAATTTCTGCCTCCTGATTACAGGCATAGGAAGCGCAAAAGGCATCGTTCACAAAACTGGCCTAATGCTAGTCTGCACATCATTTATTGCTGGGGTTTTAATGTCCCAGGTCTGAGTCACCACAGGTGAAGAGGATGATGGGGCTGGGCTTGGCCCTCCGTCGGAGAGATGCTTTAGGCCCACAAGGGCTACTTGGAACAACATCACAAGCCGTCCAGCACAAACTCCACCGAAACAGCGCTCCGGCGATTCCCAAATGCCACCCTCTGGGTTACACGTCCACCCGATTTGTTCCATGCTGTGCAAAAGTCACAACTTCTTAAAACACGCGTGGAAGCTCAGCCTCTCAGTCTGTTGATACAGAGGAAGCGGCTTCCCGGTTTTAGCAACCTAAGACTCACCTGAGCAGCTGCTTCCGTGAGACCACAGAGGGCCTTCGAAGCCACCCCGACACACTCGCCAAAGACGGGAAGGTCGCCGGTCTTGGCGTTCTGAGAAATCCCAGCCATCGCCTCCCCAAGCACCTTCGGGGGGTGGGGGTGGGGAAAAGGATTTGAGAGAAATCTCTGAGCACACTCTACAGTTGAACAGTTACTGCTACTACAGAGAATGATTTTAGCAGACACACAATACTTCTTGGATCGGCTCCTCTCCAGTGACCTGATGCTTACTGGGCTTAAGAGTTGTATTGTTGCATCATGTTTTTGCTACTGCTGTGGGCCAGCAGCAGGCCAGATGTTCACGGGCTGCACCGTGGCATGCCCATGTTCCATGCAGGGTTTGGAAGGGGCCACCACAACATCCCTGATGGGTCGCCAGCCAGCCAGCCTCTGCTGATCAAACCTCCCAAGGCAACCTCCAGGAAGGAGTTCTCCTAATGTCTTAGCCAAAATGGGCATCCTTCCTTTACAACCCATTTTAGACTTCGAAGGATCCGGACTTGACGATCCAGAGGTCCCTTCCAGCTTTGCCGTTCTAAGACTCTACGGCAGCCCTAAATATTTCTCAGTGCCGCAGCTCACCAAGACAAACATGCACAAGAGGAAGAACGATGGACTACCTTTGAGTTTTCCATGACCCCTTCAATGCAGTCGAAATACGAGAGGTCGCTCACGGGTTCGTTAGGGCTTTCCAGCATTCCTCTAACGGTCTAGAAAGAGACAAGGACACGATCACTGATTCGTCACACAACTCCACTAAACCCCCAGATTTCTTGGTGCACTGGGTTGGGACGCTGGTGTGCCCCAGAGTCCTGCTTTAAACTGCCCTCCCCTCCCGCCAAGCACCTTCGGATCCAACCCTCAGCCCTCCGAGAGCTCCCTGGGTTTGTGGACTTCCGCCTGCTGAAAACACACCACAGCGTTTGCATGTTGCCGGCTGCTCCACAGTGTCTAACGGTCTAAAAGGGGACAAGGACACGATCACTGATTCATCACACAACTCCACTAAACCCCCAGGTTTCTTGGTGTACTGGGTTGGGACGCTGGTGTGCCCCAGAGTCCTGCTTTAAACTGCCCTCCCCTCCCACCTAGCACCTTCCGGATCCAACCCTCAGCCCTCCGAGAGCTCCCTGGGTTTGTGGACGTCCGCCTGCTGAAAACACACCACGGCGTTTGCATGTTGCTCCACAGTGTTGTCTATCTGTGTATTTCTCTCCGCTCAAAAGCCTCCAGAGTCTTTTCACGTTGTTGCTTGCTACCATATGCGTTTTTTAAAAATTCTAAATACTTTCTAAATATTTTGTCATGATTTTGCATGGACATGGTGCCCAGATCATATATCTAATACCTACTTTGGTCTTAGGATGCTAGATAGACCAGGCACATGGTATTTATTGATTATTAAAGCAGAAAACTCCAAACTCTTCATGAATAAACAGACGGTATGCCATAACTCTTCATACAACATCACCCGCAATTAGCATTTATATTTATTTCTCCAGACGTGAATGCCAGCAAACTGCAGAACTGCCGTCGGGTATTTATATAAATATGCACAGACTTAAGACTGAAGGCTCAAATAAATTCAAAGAACTGTTTACAGCATTTTGTCTGTGATTCATCCAGGATGAAAGAGTTCTAAAGAACTTCAGAGCATATATATTTTTGAGGCGTTTCTCCTGGTCATAATAAAGGCCTTGCTTTCTTGATGATTTGGGTTTCAAACAGTTCTGGCTTAGTTTTCACAGCCTGGTCTGGATTTGTTGTGAGGAAGTCTGGCCAACCCGGGTCCGGAGCTCCCCGGTTGCCACCTGAGCTACCCTATCAGCTTCCCTGACCATTGCACCAACTGACCCCAAACGAAACAATCTGAGCCTGTGAGGGAACGATAAAACCCCGGGGGGCTTCAGCATTTGGCCCCCCAGTCAGGGCAACCTGCCCCTGGTGAGAGGATGCCACTGGCATTTTGCACTATTAAGACACCGCCTTGATTTTATCCCGGATAGGCTCAACGCAAAAAGGCAGGACAGAAGCCATTAAAAAAATGGCAAAGGATTTTGCTTCCCTACATGGCTTCATTGGATCTTGACCCCTGCCTTGTCTGGAGGAGGCCGTGGCCTTTGGCTTGAGGCCGGCACTACCTGGTGGCTTCTTATGTCCCAAATCAGAGAAGCCAAGCAAGGAGAGATAAACCCACAACTAAGCCACGGTGTTACCTCCAGTTCCCGGAGAGCGTTGTCACACTCCTTCTGCCCCGGGGCTTGCTGAGTACACAAGGTGATCAGCTGGTTTATGCTCTCCGTCACGGCCCTGCAAAGAAAGGCAGGCAGGCGCTTTGACAGGGGCCGAGTAGACGAGAGACGGACCCACAGTTCGATTCTAAGGCAAGGCCTCACCTCCAGAGCCCACCCTGGCGGATCCTCTCATTAAATCACTCTTGACAAGCCCCGGAAGGACCATCAAGACTTCCTCCAGGTGCCGGTTGGAAGTCCCTCCGGTGGAGTTTTGGAAACGGACCCTGTCACGCCGGAG